ATATTCCTACTTCCTCGCAAGGAACCTTGGATCCCCACGTTAATCCCTGCTAGTTTGGCGTCGTGGAGACAACCCATCCAGAGGCAAGCAGTAAGCAGTACTAGTAGCCTACTACTGTACACAGTAGTAGTGGAAGTAGTGGGAGTCTAGCTACAGCCCCGCAGCCGACTTGGGCCACTACGGATCCGCTTGTCTGATTTACTTCCATTCGGGCACTGTCCGCTCTAACCCTGAAGGTGTTGCTGCTGTGCCCCATGCGCTGCTTTCTGTCCTCAGAGGGTGTTAACTCTTTGGTACTAGTCTGGTTGATAAACCCGGCCCCGGCTCGAGTCCATACTATTCGCCCATCCACCGATGCACACGCATCGTCAAGGATCGTTCCTGGATTCTTTCATCTCCTCTACCCTGTCTTCCCTATCGCTACTATGTGGACAGCTTATACCTAAATCTGGATCGCTGATTGATTGACTCGGACGCATCATCCCTCGGCCAATGTGCCGGCCCTAGAACCTTATTATTGCAATATGTGCGTGAATCCTTTTATATCGGCTCATGTCCCTTTTGGCCCCTGCATATGTACCCCCCTCCCTCAGGTGATTTCAATTGACCGGCCTTATCGCATTCCTCTAGGCTGCACTCGAGTGAGATGGCGAGCCTAGACTCTGCCTTTGCGACGAGCTTCGCAAAAGAGACATGGGCCCTATACAGCGTGGGAGTATTGGGGGCCATCCTACGATTGTGAGCTCCCTAGACCCAGAGATATCTTCTGCGGATGACCGTGCATCTCAGTCTTTCTTACTGACCATCTCATTCGTATAGCGTAGCACGAATACGCCGATTAGGTTACCAGAACCTTCAAGCAGATGATTACTTGATGCTATTCGCGGTGGTCTGGTATACTTTATTATGTGTCGCTCTCAATGAAGTCGCCTCTGGAGGCGGATCAAACCTGATGGATGAGAATGATAGAAAGCACTTAACGCCTGCCATCAAGGCGGATCGTGTCAGGGGAAGCAAATGGGTCTTTGTATCGGAGCATTCCTTCCTCCTTGCTATCTATGCCATGAAGGCATGCATGTTGGTTATATATGCCCGCATCACGTATGATTCTCTACCTAGCAAGCACTATTCTCCAGCCTAACATCATTCTTACCAGCGAAGGATTACGCCAACGAAAATGGGTGACTTATCTCGCTGTCTATGTCGCCCTCGGCTTCGTTGGCAATGAATTGTCTTTGTTCCTAATTTGCCGGCCTTTATCGAATTACTGGGCCGTGCCTACTCCCTACGGTCAGTCGAAGCGATAAGCCCTGCGAGAAATATTTGCCAGTCACTAATGTCTGTATAGACCAATGCTCGACATATCAGTACTATGAAATTGTTCAAGGATGTCTATCAATATCTGCGGACGTCTTCATGCTTATCATTGGCCTCCCACTTATGGTTCAAGTTCGAGTGCCTCTTAAGCAGAAGTTGATTCTCTTGATCCTATTTGGCATGGGAATCTTCGTCATTGTCGCAGCCCTCCTGAACAAACTCTATTGTCTCGTTCCTTCTCTCATCTCCTATGTTTACATGAACTGGTATTTCCGGGAAGCGACAGTAGCTATCCTGGTCACCAACCTACCCCTTGTTTGGTCTCTCCTTCGCGATGTGTTCCCCGCGCTCAAGAGTTGGACCGGAGGGTCACGACGAGGAACCACCGAACGGTATCGGACTGGTCCCTGGACAAGTAAGGGATCTGCATTTCGTCACTACGGTCCCCACAGTCAGTTGCAATCTGGCGAATACAGCATGCACAACTACAACCAGAGCACCGTTGTTGCGCCCCAGAAGACTATTTCGGAAGTCAGCCTGGAGCCGAGCGAAGATCGCGAGCCCAGCGAGGACGGCTCCGAACGGGCCCTCAGAATCCGACAGGATGTGACGGTGACGGTGGAGCGTGAGACACGACCACCTGAGTATTGGGAGTCCAAAAAGGCCCAAACTTCAGAAGGCCGACTCCCGGAACCATGAAGGACACGATTGTTTCATGATACTTACTTCCTTTCTCCGTGAATTCATTTTTCTCAACGCTTGTATAGAAACCCTTATTTTTTTCTCTTTCTCTTTTTGGACAACACTCTCTTGATCAACTTTCTTTCCTTTCACGGCACCTCAGGTGCCACTAGCGGACTGATCTGATAACGGTGTCCGCTTGACTATTGTACATAACTTGCTGGGCACCCCATCGCTTAACGTCCATATTTCCACTGATCATCGGCATGTGGGGGACCAAGATGCCGAGAAGGCATCCACTACGACTATGGTTCGGAAGATAGATGGGGGGATATTTGGCGCTTAGCGACGAGGATAGACAAAAATTATTGTGATATATAGTAATAGATAGACAATGGACTATACGTTCATGTGAGCCGGTTCCAATTTCAGGCCGCGTTTGGCAAATGTTTTCCAGAAGGTCGTCTTCCCTGGGACCATCCGTAGCCTGCCGACCCGTGACCTGATCGTCCCGTGACAGGCCACTTTGGGGTTTACTTGCGAGTTACCGTAATATATGCCTACTTTGGCGGACATGCTACGTAATAATGGAAAACCTATGACCAACATTACCTGTCTCCTCCCCTCCTCAATGATGTGCCTGATTAATCTTTAGTTTTCAGTCCCTCCCTCTCTCTCTCCTCTCACGATCACCATGCTGGCTTCTGCATCTCCAAACTTCAAAGGTGCTCTCCATAAGACTATGACGTCTGGTACGGGGGCTGGTTTGACCGGATCCATTCCATGGTCTCACTAAGACCGGTTATCAGGCGATACTGCATCTAGTAAAAGATCAGGTATCACTCGTCTACGCTTCTCTTTTTGACAACGGCGAACCTTAACATTGGTGTCCGTGCCAAGAGCAGACAGAGGTTGGCTGACAGGAACTTAGTTCACGCTCTGAAGTTAAAGAACTCCTACGGCCAAGGGGCAGGTGCCGTCCGAAGAAGCCGGGGCCTGATAAACTTCGTGCTGACTTGGTCTGCTACTAGGTAGTAACCTTAACTTCTACCGCGGCCTCTTTGGCAACACTGGGAACCCACTATCTTCTGCAGAACTCCCCAGCCATCATAATCATCAGTCATCCAACCATCATAAGTACCAACAATCATCAAAGAGCGTCTCGGTCGGGTAGGGATATCCTTTGCTCAGATTGGCTGTACCCAAACACCTATCTGCGCGACTATTTGGCAAGTGGTCCATGGGACCACTCACCCCATCCCCCACCCAGCAGCAACCACTTTAGGGAATGATCTTAAGTTTAGATGCCCCCGATGCCGAACTTCCATCATTCGGCCCACGGGTCTGTTCAGCGCGGACGGAAATAACTTGCTCAGGTGCGTACGCCGTACGGAAGGCATGGCTGAGTAGCAAAGCTTTCCACAAATCGAACGCATGCTTTGCGCTGTAAGGTACAGCGACAGTAGCCGCAGCCGACTACCCCAGTGATCGACATTCGCACCACTGGCCAGCATCTCCAAGCCTGAGCCCAATGGCACGAATCGCGAGCGCAGCGGGATTTGGAGAACTTCAACAAACCCCGTCATTCGCAGGCTTAGAATCGTAGTGTGGCGCTGGTTTGCCACTATACTACAGACTACACACTCGGTCTTTTCAGGTCGAAGTGAGACTAAGATTGTCCCTCAAAACAACACCATTGTCTCGCTTTTCCTCTTTTTTAGGTATACAGAAGCAAGTAGGCAAGGCTGTGCCAGATCTCGTCTCAGTCTCGGTGACAGCAGAATAGCAGATTGGTGTGGACCGCTTACGCCCGTGCCTTACCTCTCAAAGTCTGCCGTTTGAACTATTGAAATGTCTCCCGGGCTTGACTTTGGTTCATCAAATGTCACTTTCGCCCATTGTGCCCCATAGACTTTCGGAGTACCAGACTTTCACTTGAGAGAGAGGGCCACCGCTAAAGGAGAAAATCACGCACTATAATGAGCAGTTACTTGTCCCGCTAAGCGTTCGGTCCTAAGATAGTTTCTCTCACCCGAAAGCTTATAGATTCTCAGCATCTTGCGACAGTTCATGCAACATGCCAGCACGGTCCCCATTGCTCGGCTGCCTTTGCAGATTTCTGAGCACCCTGCATTATGGGTGATGGCACGGTACCACTTATACAGCTGTGCCTGGGATATTCAATATACACTATCTTTCAAAACACATGGGGTTTCAGCGTCTGGTCGCACAAGCCCACACCTACTTATACAGCATTTGAGTCTGTGTTTTAAATCTTGATTGAAATAATACACCACGCGAGGCAGTAGATTCGCGGTACATCCTCTGCAGTTCGTCTTTGTACGGGGACTGCAGATCCACGTGGCTTTAGTTCAACGCATGCTGATCACCTCGGCGCGAACTGCTGAATCCCTCACTGACTGATTTAGCGTATGTTGGAGGGGAAGATGACGAGTCCTCCTGTGAGCTTCATGATCTCCGTTTTTTTGAGCCAGTCGATTAGCGTTCCCTCCTAATCATTCTGTGTTAGAGGGTGCTTCGTCCGAGACATGGGAGACGCCGCTGAACTTTGTTCACGGTTGTGAACATTTCCGACCAGTGCACCCCGAATTTCTCCCGTGGGCAACATGGCGGAGAGCAACCGTGCTGAGAGTGGGCTTGATTACTCTACTCGGTACCAACTCCTTATCCTATCGCAAATGAAGCTTAGAGCGCTTTTCAGGAGCAGACGCCGTTTTCTTGGTATGGATTGGTCTATGCACTAACCAGCGTACTTTGCAGAATTCTTGCATCCGTCGACTGTCGAGACCCAACCACTAATTAAGCACAATATATTGCACAGTACCAGCGCCACTGGACTGTGGTCTAGAAGAAATTATGTGTTGGGCGCCGATATTAAGGAGACGCACGTTATCACCATTGGTAGCATTCCTATTAGTGATGCTGTGTTGTCATGTACTACTACTACCTTGTCCCGATTCGGCATGACTGGCACGTGATGCGGGGCTGCCTCTTCCCCTCCAGCTTCATCTATACGCTTCCTTTGCATGCCTATTGACAATTACTTTACAGGTTAACGTTGAGTTGACCTCATCCAGAATCAAGAAGGATATATTCTAGTTGCATTGAAGGAAGCAGCCCGTTTGATGTTCTGCATGCGGCATAAGTTCTCCTTTGTAAGCACTTGTACTCTTTAGTCGCTACTACCTTACCCCTGCAAACAGTATGCCCGGATCTGTAGACTGACCGGGTGTAATAGCTTGCGTGCTACTGAAGGCGGACTGAATCTCTAATTAAAAGAGATACACTGAAACTCTATCAAAAGCAATTCCAAGGACCATCAGGCCTACCATGCCTCCATCATTCCTAGGCCTTGAGGGTCTTCACGTCTTCGTCGCTGGTGCCGCAGGAGATATCGGTAGGCGAGCGGTGCAGGAATTCCTAGGTATGTTGCTTACATACTCTGTCTGTGCCAGCTGGAGGCAAGCCCCAAACGTGTTTTAGCCTACCATCATTTTGTTGTTGATGACCGTAGTGACAGCCACCAGCTGTTGCTGGACTATTCTATATGTCACATTCCGCCTTTATGTGCCTTGCGTTCTGCATGAGACAGCTCAATACTAACCATATTCACAGACCAAGGATGCAAAGTCACGGCGTTTGATCTTCACAATGTGGAAATCCCCGAAGCAAACAGAAACGATGTGCATCCTAGACTTCACATCCTCAAGGGCGATGATACAAAAGAGGAATCCATTCAATCATGCATTTCCCAAGCCAGCCAACGCCTCGGCCCCATCAGTGTCCTCGTTGTCAATTCCATAACCAGTGGACAAGGAAATGACCTCCCCATTTGGGATCTTGCACTGGACACCTGGGAGAGAACGTCCCGTGCCAATCTACGGGGAACCTTCCTCACGATCAAGCACTTCTTGCGAGCTGCACAAACAGCCCAGCAGTCTGCCGGCAAGCAGCTAGAAAACCTTGCTATTGTTGTGGCAGGAGGCGAGACACCTGTACAGGCTAAATTGTACACTGAGTTGGCCCAGAGGGTGAAGAACGATATAGTCCGTCTCAACAGCCAGGCGAGAATCAACATCATTGCCCCGGTTGAACCCGCAGCAGGGACACAAGCAGACTCAATTCCCCGAACTATAGCGTTCCTATCCTCCCACCGCGCGGCCGGACACCTTACAGGCCAATGCCTCAACCTGAGTAACAATACGCAAAGCGAATCTACCTCAACCAGCCTTACCCCGTCCATCCCCAGATCCCTCACCAGAGTCAGCAAAAAAATCCGCGTCGCCATAAGCATCGACCTTGACGCCGTCTCCGGCTGGCTCGGCACCGGCAAAAGCCCAGACAACATCCTAGCCGACTACTCAGCGGGCTTCTTCGGCGCGAAAGTCGGCGTTCCGCGTCTTCTGAACATGCTCAAGAAGCTCAATCTCGCAGACCGGTGCACGTGGTTTGTCCCGGGCCACTCTGCCGAGAGTTTCCCGGACGAAGTACAACAAGTAGTCGACTCCGGCTGCGAAATAGCACTGCACGGCTACGCCCACGAAGGTGCCTACCAAATGACGCCGGAACAAGAGCGCGACGTCCTAGTCAAGTGCATCGAGATTGCCAAGAAACTCACGGGAAAGAAACCAGTTGGCTATCGAGCTCCCCTATACCAGCTCCGTGAATCAACTCTAGATCTATTGGAAGAATTCGGCTTCGAATATGGTATATTCCCCAACCCTCCTTGACCTTTCCTTCCACTCCATGCCCATCTACCACACAACAACCTACAGACTAACGATACCAATAACCAGACTCCTCCATTACCGAGCACGACAGCTACCCCATCTTCGCCCCCCGCCGCCCAGCCATCGAACCCATCGACTTTTCCAAGCCCGCCGCAAGCTGGATGAAGCCCCTCCCAGCTTCCTCAGACCGACGCCCTCTCGTTTGTGTCCCTTGCAACTGGTACATGGAAGACATGACGCCAATGCAGTTTCTTCCTCATGTACCGAACTCACATGGCTACACGGACGCGCGGGTCATGGAGAATATGTGGAAAGATCGATTCCTGTGGATCAGAGAGAACGAGGAGGAGCCGCTGTTCCCTATTCTCATGCATCCGGATACGAGTGGCATGGTGCATGTGATCGGGATGCAGGAACGGTTTTTGAATTGGTTGAAGAGCTGGGGGGATGAGGTGGAGTTTTGTCAAACGGTGGAGGTGGCCAAGTGGTTTAGGGAGAAGGAGATGGGGAAATCTGCCTAGGTAATAAGTGATGAGACCTGGTTTGACTTATGAGCTCGGAAACTAGTAGCATTGCGCTGGTACTCTACTCAGATACTAAAAAAGGGTTTGTTCATTTGCTTACGTCTACATACTATAAAGAGTAGAATATTGGAGTGATTAGTTTATTTAAGACATGAGAATGTGACATTCAGTCCAATCTATCATAATTACTATACACACAAGTGCAAAGAAAAATGTGCATGCATGTATGCCATCTAGTAGTTGATAGCAACAATCCCCCATATTATCATATCATATCACCTCAGAAGAATGCTATCAGCTGTACAGCCCAGCCCAATTTCTTCAAACATATATGCAACGCAAGTATGACACAAAATTAAGCACAAAGAAGAAAGAAAGAAAAATGGAAGAAGAAATCAAGCAAATTCATCATCTCATCATCTCATCGTAAAAAAGAAACAATCGCTCAATCAATCACTTTTCCATCTACTCATCATACAAATCCATATCTCCACTACCATCCTCCATCTCCGCCAACGCCTCATCATCCTCATCGATCATATCCTGATCCTCATCGACCGGAATATCATGATTAGGAAGGACATCGATGCGGCCCTCACGCATGACCACCTTCGCGACTTCACCATCACGCACACTACCGCGCAGAATCAACACAGCCAGACGGTTCAGCACCTCGCGCTCGATGATGCGTCCTAGCGGACGAGCACCATAAGCAGGGGAGTAACCTGCTTCACCGAGGTAATCCTTGACTTCGTCGGAGCATTGGATAATGACGTTGCGGTCATTGTTCTCCAGACGGCGCTGCACCTCTTCCAGACGGAGGTCGACGATCTTGCGGATCTCGCGCTTGGTGAGACGGTTGAAGATGACGGTGCTGGAGATACGGTTGAGGAATTCAGGAAGGAAGTAGTCGCGCAGGGCGCCCATGACCAGCTCGCGGGTTTGAGGGTCGATGCGGCCGTCCTTGGTGGTTGGGCGGGCGAGGAATTCGGCACCCAGGTTGGAGGTCATGACTACGATGCAGTTCTTGGCGTCGACGATTCTGCCTTGGCCGTCAGTGATGCGGCCGTCGTCCATGAGTTGAAGGAGGACAGTTAGGACTTCCTTAGCGGCCTTTTCGACTTCATCGAAGAGGAGGATCGAGAAAGGTCGGCGGCGCAGGCTCTCGGTTAGTTGGCCACCGGCATCGTGGCCGACGTAGCCTGGGGGTGCGCCGATCATGCGGCTCAGGGAGTGACGTTCTTGGTACTCGGACATGTCGAAGCGGATCATGGCCTTGGGGTCGTCGAAGAGGAATTCGGCCAGGGCCTTGGTCAGCAAGGTCTTACCGGTTCCGGAGGGACCGCAGAACAGGAAGCTAGGGGGTGAGTTGGGGTTGCTGAGACCAGACCGCTGGAGTCGGATGGCGTTGGAGACTGAGGTCACCGCTTCCTTTTGACCAACGACGACCTTGCCCAGGTATCTCTCCATGTTCAGCAGCTTGTCCTTTTCGGTGGTCTTGAGCCGGGTCACGGGGATACCGGTCCAACGGGCGACGATTTCGTTGATTTGGTCGGGACCGACTGCGTCCGCGAGCAGAGCTTCGCCGGCATCGCCCTGGCGTGCCCGTCGCTCTTCATCAGCCTTAGCACGGTCGATCTCAAGTCGCTCAATGAGAGCCTTGGTTTCGGGAATAGCGTAGTACTCGAGATCGGCGGCGGTCTGGGTGTCACCAGAGCGCTCTGCTTCATCACGCTTGACCTTGAGGGAGTCGAGCTTGATCTTGGCGTCCTGGATGGATTTGCTGCGCTGCTTCTCGCTCTCGTATTTCTCGCGCATAGGACGCAGCTCTTCGGTAACGTTGGCTGCTTCTTGCTTGGCGGCCTCCAGACGGGCTTTGGAAGCATCATCCTTCTCGCGCTCGAGAGCGTGGATTTCGATCTGCAACTGACGGAGCTTTCTCTCCAGGTTGTCTAGCGCTTCGGGTTCAGATTCGCGGGTCACCCGGACGGCAGCGGCGGCTTCATCGATCAGGTCAACTGCCGAGTCGGGGAGTCGGCGTGCGGTCAGGTAGCGCGCAGCCAGCGTGGCAGCGGACACGATAGCACCGTCGAGGATGTTAACACCGTGATGCACTTCATACTTCTCCTTGAGACCACGCAGGATGGAGATGGTCTCCGGAACGGAAGGCTCCTTGACGAGGACTTGCTGGAAACGACGCTCGAAAGCCTGGTCCTTTTCGATGTACTTGCGGTATTCGCCCAGCGTGGTCGCACCGATGCAGTGCAATTGACCACGAGCGAGCATGGGCTTCAGCAGGTTGGCAGCATCCATGCCACCTTCGCCGCTGGAGCCTGCGCCCATGAGCAAATGAATTTCATCGACAAAGAGAACAATAGTGTCTTTTGATTCTTCGATCTCCTTCAGAACGCCCTTCATCCGCTCTTCGAATTCTCCGCGATACTTGCTGCCTGCAACAAGCGAGCCGACATCGAGAGACAGCAGCCGGCATTGAGCCAGGTTGGCCGGAATATCTGCGTTCACGATACGACGAGCCAGGCCCTCAACGATGGTGGTCTTTCCAACACCGGGCTCACCGATGAGTACTGGGTTGTTCTTGGTCCGTCGACTCAGGATGCGAATCACCCGACGGATTTCCTCTTCACGGCCAATGACAGGGTCAATCTTTCCCTCTCTGGCCAAAGCAGTCATGTCGATGGTGAATTTCTTCAGGTTCTCGTTTTCGCTTTCGGCATCGGCAGTCTTGGAGTCGACCCGTTTTGTACCACGGATCTGCTGGACAGCACTATCGATCAACTTGACGTTGGGAATGTTGGCATCGGCCAAAGCGCGCTGAACCTGTGAGTCCTGCGCGGCAGAGAGGATGAGGTGGTCGATGGCGACGTAGCTATCCTTTTGCGTCTTGGAAAGTTCGGATGCCGACCGGATGACCTTGGCAAGTGCAGGAGAGACACTGACGGTCTCTGGCGGAGGATCCTGCGAAGGGAGACGAACCAGCATTTTCATGAGGGATCGTTCCAGGAGTTGTGGATCGCCATGGGCGCGTTCGACGACCTGGCGGAAGAGGGGGGCGGAGGAGGTTTCGTGGGAAGGATGAGCGGGGGCTTGCTGGTCTTTGGATTCATCGGGAGAAGGGTTGAGGAGAGAAACGGCGAGATGAACAGGGAGGATCTGTGAGTGAGAGTATTGCTCTGCCAGGCTGCTGGAGTCCAGCAAGGCCTTGTTGGCTCTGTCTGTGAATTGGGCGCCGTTCATGTTGGGCGGAATGTGAGGGAAGAATGTGGGATGGAAATCAAGCTAATCAGTTTGATTATGGTAAGTTGTGACACAGAAGGTGAGAGGTGTATGTATGTAAGTGAGATGAGGAGATTGAGGAAATGTTCAAGAGATTATGTGGAAGCAATGTTCCGTGTGAACGAGAGAAATTAGTCTGCTGATTGTGTCTGGTGAGAGAGAAAGAGGCGAGACGAAGATGATGCCGACTTGCATAATATAGAGCGTGACTTCAGATGCCCGATTGGGTTCATGACGACACTGGCAGCTTCCACCGCCTTCCAGAAGCACCGCCAATCCGCCAGAAGTCACGTGTTGAGGCCTGACCCTGCTGGCTTGTTCTGGCCTGATGAATCAGGCCATCAAGTGGGGGAATTATATCCAGTCATGTGACCTGACACTGGCCAGTTGCCGTTTTCGGAGCCGAGATCGCCCAGATCGAAAAGAATCTCGAAGTCAAATTCAAATTCATATTCAAATGATATTATTGTGTCTCTCTCTCTCATCAAGGTCTCGCTCAACTTGAAACGGCCAACTTCTTGTCGTATCCACTATCGCCACCTCTATTCTACGATGACTATGTCCCGGGCCATCTCATTAGAGTCTTGCCCTGACATTTCCAGGAATCTGTCCGGCGCTAACGGCGCCAGATTCACTCCTGGCGTGTTAGGATGTTAGGATCGCCTCCAGCAACAGAGAGGAACCCCCCACGTTGGCGTCGCCCGGGCTTGATTGGCATGCAATCCTTCTGGTCTGGCCGGGATTAAAGTTCCTGGTCTTGTTGGTAGTGGTAGTGGTGGTCCATGACAACTTCCAATACTACATGTACTTGAGGACTTTTCTGCTGATACTTTCTCAGGACCCGGGAAGGGCGGGGAGTTAACCAGCCCTTGTTCTCCTGACATGAGATCGTGAACATCTCCTCCCCTGCCCTGCAACCAACAAATTCTATTTCTCCCCCTGATAGATGATGGATCGGAGACATCTATCCCGATTAATTCTCTTCCGTGGTGAATATGATTCCCCCGCCTCACAACCCCTCCACGCGATCAGCGCATCGATATGGCCTCATCAGGTCATTCCAGGCCCGAGCGTGACGTCAAGCAGTGGGAACCCCCCTCTTAATTCTCTCCCTGGGATGCTCAAGCCTGGATGAGCCAAACTATTTCCCCTCTGCTATCGCCTGGGAGTTCGTCCTCCGTGAAATGTGAGACACCCTCCAGGCTACGGACCCAGTTCCGACCATGAAATGCAGGCTGAGAAGAGATCTGAGTCCAAGGGGAATAAGCTGTAGATCGTAATTCGCAGTGGTTGCAGGGATCTGTTCGCCCTTTCCGGAGTCTTTCTGCCGGCCGCCAAAACTACTACTTTACTCCCCTTCTAACGTCATGACTATGACTTGAAGGATTTGATAAAGGTCTTATCCACCGCCACCAACAATGGCCTTTACAGCAGCGATATCGCAACACTGGTACATGAACTATCTTGCACCATCTGCAGACTACCAGGCACCGTTCAACTTTCATTCCTTATGCGGCATTAATTCCAAAGAGTCCAGGCATCAACAGTGGATAGCAAGAGGGGCTCCCATTACGTTTAACCCCTCGACTAGCCCAGCACCGTTGTCTGGTAGACAGTAGTGGTGTGGATATCGCACTCGTACTACTTGGGACCCTCGACGCTCGTAGGACTGACTGACTGGCTTATCCGGTCCATCCACGGGTCAACCTTCCCTGTTTTGTTTTGCCTGGCATTGCATTGGTCCTGGAGTTTGCAGCGAACGACCGTCCGTCTGCTTGTTGGAGCTGCGCTTCTGATTCGTGATACCTGCCCTTTTTTTTTTTACCTTCCCGCGTGGAGGAGGGCAGCCCGTATTTCCATTCATTCCCCTCCGTTGCCTTCAGCCTTGGTCGACATTCCTATTCCGGATCGAGAGTATAAAAAGCCCCTCTCCTCCATCACCGGCTGCTCTTCTACTCGCCGTGGTGTTTTTTTTTTGTTTTCTTGTGCTTGTATCTTCTGCTCACCCAAAATCTACGGGGGATTTGCAACGACTGCCTGACTGGGCATTTGTTCTTGCAGATTATTGCATCGGAACAACAATACCAAAAAAGCAACAGCTGCTTCATCTTCTCTTTGGACGGGGACTTTAGTGTTTCCCAGAACAGTCCTCTACACCGGCGGTGAAATTCCCTGGTAGAAAGTAGTGTGCACTGTTGATCTTTTATAATATCGACTCGGATCTTGAATCGGAAACGGTTCATTTTCTGCTCTTTTCCCTCTGGTGAACCAGCCAGTTATTCAGCCCTGGTTGCTCATTCATCATTACATCGAATCAAGATGTCTCAAAAACCCATCTTCGTGGCTACCCATCCACGCGCCTGCTCTACGGCCTTTGAACGAGTACGCGTGATCCTCGCATTCCATAGTGCCGAAAAATCAAGAATTAAAAAAAAAATGAAGCACACAAAACAAGAAGATAAGAACCTGCTGACACCTACAACAGGTCTTCATGACCCGTCGGGATACCATTCAATGTATCCATGAGCCGTTTGGTGATGCCTTCTACTACGGGCCTGAACGCCTGTCGGCCAGATTCGCCGACGACGAACAGGCTCGTCTGGAGAGCGGCTTCAGCCAGTCGACGTTCCAGACCGTCCTGGCCAGAATCGAGCGCGAAGCTTCTGAGGTCCGACCCTTCTTCTTGGTCGCGTTTCTTTCTTTCTGCGTTCTACACTCTTTCATCCCTCCCTCTCTGTCATTATGCGCCCGGCCGAGGTGAAAATCCCGGCTGGATGGTCCTTGCCCTGCATCGTAGAGGCCAGTTGCCAATCTTTTCCATCCCCCTTCCCCCCTTGATGGGCCTGGGACCTGCGGCATCTGCATGCCTACGCAGGTCCCTCTTCTCTAAATTGATGCGCCTCTTCTACAAGCCCATGATCGCACGAGGTAGTCACCTCACTGTCATCGTCAAGATGTCGTCGGATCTCACCAGCCCCAATCGAGCCCTTCACACTCTACTTTCCTACATGATTCTTACTCTACTCGGTCGCTACGAGATACTTACCACCAGCAGGGCAAGCGAATTTTCATGAAGGACATCATGCACTACCTCCTCCCGCCATACGGCAAACCCGCCAGCATCGCGCCATCTCTGAACAGAATCAAGCGTGGCGTGGGCACCGAGTCTAACGGAGAGACTGCTCCCCTTTCGGCTGTTGGCGCCAACGGCACCAACGGCCACCACGCCCAGCAGCTGAATGGCACAAGCCCAGTCCAGAACGGGACCAAGAATGGGCTGAATGGCCACGCTGTGCTGGACCACTCCACGCCGGTGAAACCGGCCACCACTCGGGAGCCGTACCCGTACGACACGGCAGCCGAGCCTGGCAATCCCACCGTGATGCCCACGGAGATCCTCTCCCAGTTCCATTTTGCCTTCCTCATCCGCGATCCCCACCACAGTGTCCCCTCCTACTTCCGCTGCACCATCCCGCCCCTCGACCAGGTGACGGGCTTCCACAACTATGATCCCTCCGAGGCCGGGTACGACGAGCTGCGTCGCACCTTTGACTACCTGCGTAGCGTGCGCCTGGTAGGCCCCCACATTGCCACACAGGAGCGTGACGCCGACGACATCGACAACAAACTCCGACCGGTGACGAACGGCCTCAACGGGTACGAATCCGGAGCGGAGATCTGTGTCGTCGATGCCGACGACATGTTGCAGAAGCCGGCAGCCATGATCGAGGCATTCTGTCGTAGCGTGGGCATCGAATATACCCCGGACATGCTGTGCTGGGACACCGACGAAGACCACCAGGTCGCTCGGGAAAAGTTCGAGAAGTGGCGCGGCTTCCACAACGATGCGATCGAGTCGAAGGGCCTGGTTGCTAGAAAGCATGTAAGTTATCATCAGTAGACCCTACACAGCTTTCATCTGTGCCCCTTGTCTATATGCTATGAAAGAAGTAGTAGTTAGTCACTAACACCACCACCACCCAACAGCCCCATGCCGTCAAGACAGAAGAAGAATGGGACGCCGAATGGCGCAAGAAATACGGCCCAGAGGCAGCAGACCTCATCCGACAGACCGTTGACGCCAACATGGCCGATTACTTGTATCTGAAGCAATTTGCCATGCGCGTGTAGGTCGAGTCAGGTCAGGATAGGACAGGTTGTCCTTACGGGCCACCATCGGGGAGGAAAGAAGAAGAAGAGAGACCACCGGACAAAGAACCGGGGGACCGGATGGATTTAAGGAAGAATGATATAAAAAGAGGGGTCAATCCACTCTTTTAACTTCGGAATGGTATGCTGGGTGACGAATGCTCAGGCATGATGAATTCTTAGCTTTGATGACGCCATTTGATGTGATGATGATCTGTGCATGTTGAATTATTTTTTGACTGTGATTTGTTTGTGACTTCTTTTCATGAGCGATGCATGCATGCAAGTATGTTAAGAAAGGAAGGGTGGGAGATTGAATTAATTATGGTGGAGTATGATTGATTCGCTATACTGGTGTTCTTCTATGGTAGTGTAAATGTAGATGGTGTTGGTGTTGGTGTTGGTGTTAGGTTTCTACCCGGGCTACGGTTGCATAGTGGAAAGAGTACGTAGTAGCGGTCTGACTCGTTGGTTTCACCCAACATACTTGCTGTCCTGCAATAATAGGACAAGATCATACAGTCAGAAATGACTTGATGAGTGAATTTACACAGAAGCCTGATCAATTTATCTATATCCATTTTATGTCATACTGGATATATAGAAACTCTCTTGAAGTCATCAATTTTTCCTGTTACTTCTCAGCCCGATAAGTACATGAAGGTCATCATTGTTTACTTATTGCCATACCATACCTACTACTTGTACTATTAAATTATTTGAGATGATGATTGCTACGCTACTACTATAGTACCTTAGATTAGATATTGATCCGGTTTCAGCTGCTGCATATAGTACTGGTATTAATTAGTATCTTACTAGGGAGTATCTTTACTTCTCCGATTTTTAAGTTGCCAGGCTGCCATGTTTTCTTACTACTACACCCCTTGCTTTCTTTTAGTACTACGTAGTCCAACTACATCTTCAGTATTCCTACAGTTGATAGATATGTTTCCTTAAGTCATCCCTCTCGTAGCGATAATCCTTATACATACTATCTTTATCGTGTCATATTTCTTTATCCCACCATATAATAGAATCATCCTCGTGATCATCATCATCGCCAACAACAACCTCATCATCCAACTATTCCCAAGCAAACAACATAACAAACCACACAAAGAAACCAAATTGGCAATCAATCAATCAATCAATCTCTAAAAACCCCCCTAAACAGCACTATATCCCCCTCTAGATCCCGTCCCTTGCAGCGTATTGACCACCCGCCGTAACCAGTCCTGGAAGAGGTAGGGAATATCGCGGATCGTGTCGCCGTGCGGGAGGAGATCCCACCCGCGGGCGCCGTAGCGGTTGTAGTTGAGCCAGGAGCCGAAGATGAGGTATGCTGCGATGCAGAGGAAGAGACTGTCCAGATGAATCTCGTTAGTTCGATCCAGGTTTCCCACAGGGATAGTTCGTAAGCAAGAGGGAGGGAGGGAGGGAGGGAGGGAGGGGCAAATCATACATAATAATCAACCAAGTGAAGAACCCCCAGTGACTCGACCCATCACCATTACCACCATCGGGATTCTTCTCACCCGGCTCATCCCTGTAATTGTCGCACGCGTAGCGCGTCCTCCAGTTCAGCTTCAGCACGTAGGTATCATCATCTGCGGGCCCGAAGCTCTTGAACTGCAAACTGCGTCCGCCCTCGGGTATAGTGCCGTTATCATTATTCTCGTTGTCGCCGTTAGTCTCGTCCGCCCGTTGACTCAGCTGCCACTGCCGACGGCGCTTCTCCTCGGTGTCTTCGGTCGTCTGTAGTCCTTCTAATCCCGACCGGTCGGGATCACACTGGAACTCGATCACGGCGCCCGCGTTTTTCTTCTTCTGTTGTTCTTCGTCGAAGTATTCGCCTCCGGCGAGTTTGACGAGGAGACCTTCCTGTTCGGAATCGAGCTTCTTCAGGCGCGTGATTTCAGCGTCTTTGGTGCCGTGGCCGAGGTGGTCGAGGCCGACGATGGGAAAGACGGTGCTTTCTTCTTTGTGGCTATCGAGAGCGGTTTTGTATTGGAAGCCGCAGACTGTTTTGGGGGGTAAGAGTTTGGTTAATCATAAGAGCTAGGAAACAATTTCAGGGGAGGGTGGTGGACGGGGTAAGCGTACTGTTCTTGGAGGTCGGGCATTTCAGGTGGCCGCGGTGGGCAGCGCCCTTGAGGATGTTGCAGATGTTGAGCACGTAGGTTGTGTTGACGACATAGTCTTCTGTTTCCTCGACGTGGGAGAGCGTGTGTACGCCGCCGAGAGTGCTGAGGTCATATTTGTAGCTGTCGACGATGATGTTGTGGCAGTCGAAGCCGCCGGACGCGGATGCTAGGCTGGGGAGGAGGGCGGAGGAGAAGAGGAGGGTCGAGAGACCGGTTGGTATTCGCATGGTGAAGGTTGGATTATGTGTTGCTGATGGGGAGGAACTGGATTGGTTGAGGGAGGTGATGAAGCTGATAAACAGATAGGCGATGACCGGAGCTCAGCTCGACAGTTGATGGGGTATGAGTTGTAGAGAACAATGAACGGGAAAGATATCGCTAATTCTGGAGCCCCTGATTTCCAGTTCTGGTCTATAGTTGTGTGCAGAGGAGTTAGGTGCCCCAAAGGAGATGACGATGAAGATAGAGATGGAGACGCAACGGTATGGATGGAGCTGTTCCCGACGCGGAGGTCGGCGATGCGGTGGCCGGGAGTCTTGGTTTCTCCGAGGCGAAGCGGATCAATCACCGCTGGACCACCACGACTGAACATTCAACGTCTGCACCTGACTAGTAAGGCACAGGAAAGTTGGAACCGTCAAAGATTATCGTGGAGATGACGGCAAACAATCGAGATGGCTCGGCGATTGGAGTCATCTCTCGTGGCAGCGGCTGAACGTGATCGGCAATGCGGAGGGCACCTGACGGGGATGATGTCACACGACCAGATGGTGTTGGCGATATTCGTCGACGGGGATGGAAGTATCTCGATTCTTACTGCAAAGGGAATGCATAGCATAAGTGTATTTGTTAGTTGTACGGATATGGAATCCGGGGGTGATTTCATATCAATATAGCAGAGCAGCTATCATAGTGACAATATGAAACCCATGTAAAATCAAGTCTAATGCCAGCCTCACACAGACATAGCAGAGTAGAATCACCGCAAAAACATCAAGACCATAGCAAAATACACATATCACATCCTATGCACCCCAGATACCTCCTCCCCTCATCACCTAAAGAACCATTATAGTACAATGCATAAACCCACCCACCACATCACCACCTCACACCCTCTTATCCTCAGGCACCAACAATGAACCCGCACAGACCAGCTTTGAAGCTTGAAGCCTTGCAGCCTTACAAACCTCAGGCACCCAAAGCCAGCTCCCCTCACAATCATCACATTAATTAATCAATCAAATATCAATCCATCCCCATCCTAACAAACATCCCACCACAACCCCGCCAAGATGATGCAAACTCGCATGGTACGTATACCTCTTCAAACCCCTATACAGAAGAAAAAAATAGCCTATGAAATACTAAGAATTCTTAATCAGCTCACCAAAGAAGACGAAGCCCTCACGGGCAGCGAGGACAACGAAGTCCGCCGCGAGGACCAAGAAAAGATCAATCGCTTTAGTCGGCTGCACCAGCGCGAGACACTGCTGGAGGAGCAGTTGAAGTTGAAGATGGTATGTTCATCACTTTTATTTATTTTATTTTTGATTTCCTTTACATTTCTTAAGTAATTAATAAATGGGGATATGGATATGGATGGATATGCATTATGATTCTACCCCCTTATACACATGATTTCTATTTTTTTCAACAAAAAAGCTTGATCTGACAACCCACCCCAGAAAGATAAAGAAGACTTGGAAGAAATCTCCACGGAATTGGAGCTGGCGGATGAGGATGAGTTGGTGCCGTAAGTTTTCTTTCTTTTCTTTTCTTTTTTTTCTTTTTCTTTCCCATCTGTCTATTTATCTCTGCGAGCCGAGGCGAGCTAGAGCTTGAAATGGAGGGGTTGGGGGATGTGCTAATTGCAATGCAGGTACAAAATCGGAGATGCGTTCTTCCAACTCCCCCTTGAAGAGGCCCAGTCTCTGCTGTCGACGGCAACAGAGCAGGTCGATGCCGATGTGAGCAAGCTCGAGGAAGGACTGAGTGATCTGCGGGAGGAGTTGCAGCAGCTGAAGGTGGCCTTGTATGCGCGGTTTGGACGGAGCATTAACCTTGAGACTTAATTATATCGGGACCTAGCTTAGTATCTACTACTGTTGTTCGTGTAATAATGAGACAGAGTGATGATGATGATGATGATGATTGCATTAGCATTAGCATTAGCATCCCCAATTGTAAACGCTAGTCCAATATGCACGATGCTATTGAAAATCAATTGTGATGGCTGAAAGGACAAGGAGAGAGGTGCAAGTCTAGGTTCGGCTATACACGCGTGTACTGTATACAAAAAGTCCAACATTATATCTACGTCGGTAAAACATCGCAGCTGATTCGTAATCCATGATCTCATCTCACATGCCTGTGGGGTTCTCCCACAATTGCCGGAACAGTAATACAAGTTTTGAGTAGGACAAAGGTCTTGTCCGGTCTGAGGGAAACGGGCCCCTCGCGTGCTCGCTCTCATGGCGCGGCCGGTGAGTCGCCTTCGTAGCGAGTCCGAACGTTAAGCTTCGGCCGTATTAATGTGAAGGACTTGATTTTTTTTTAATGTTCATATCTGCCACATTGTGAAGTGGCATCATCGCGAGCGGTCTCAGATAATGCTCGCGATGGTCATGCGCGAATGAGACGAGCTCGACTGCGGAGTCGTCGCATCAGAGCTCGCGGTGGCTGATTCCGGCCCAAGATATGCCGTTTCTGCGGGCTTGGTACGATGCTGAAGATCTTGTTGTTGCTGTTGCTGTTGCTGCTGCTGTCTCTCGTGGAGGTATTGCACCGTCTGCTCTACCCACTTCCACCCCTCCCACCCTTCTGGCCCTGCATTGGCCTCCGGATGGGAATATGCCACCGGGCTGCTGACTTTGGGCGACATCACTTCCAGCTGCGAGCCGGTCTCACTGCCCTGCCAGACCCAGTTACCTTCAGCGCTTCCTTGCATGTCGCCGGATACATAAACCATCAACTCTTCGTCACGCTCGAGCACTGCTAATTCGTTGCGCCGTAGCCGGTCCAAAACCACTTTGAGGAAGAACGCAAGATAGCGTCCACAGGCCATATTCACGGCGCGCGAATCACCAATAGCAGTACACGCCTGGACACAGACGAGAGCAGAAGCGAAATCCTGGCGAAAGAGGAGTAGAAGTGCACAGCGCCAGAGGTGCACACACAGCATGGTTCCTGCGGAGGATGCCAGCAGGGGCCTCCAGTCGTCACCGTTCGTGGCCGTAAACCCACTTCCAGGGCTGGATGGTGGTCGCATACAGCGGGAAAGTAAGCGGGCGGTATCCTGAGCAGTGGAAACACAATAGTCCAATGATGATGTTCGAGTTTCAGGAGGACAGAAAGGAGAGATATTATGACGGTGGAGGATCAGGCGAGCATTTTGGAGGTAGAGAATCGGGGCGAGGGTACGGGGGTCGAGATACTGGTCGGCTGTAGGGTGGTATTGAGGAGGGAAGGTTGCGAGGCAGGTGCTAAAGTGTCGTTCGAAGGTTTCAAGGGTTCCGAGACTCATTGTCGGACTCTTCAACGTTCGGGACAGCTGGCCGATCGATCGAACCACATGAATGGTGGCCAGTAATGGGGACGTTTGGGGGCTTTCCGGCACCACGCCCCCGTCTGAAGAAAGATATTGCTCGTCGATGGGACACGGGAGGCCCACGTCGCAGTCTTGATCGTTGATGAGAACTGGTTTTCCCATCTCCAAAGCGAGTAGCCTGCAATTACTGTTAGCCAGATAACGAATGAGTGAACCATCGCTGGCAGCTCATACCTATCCCAGGTGTACATCCCCCACCATAACCGTTTCCGCATCTCGCCTTCCAGAGGGGGCCAAGGGCCCGACTCCAAATGCAGGCCAATCTCCTGCGCGACTCGGATGGCGGACCCAATCCAGACCCAACTCGCCGACTGCGAATTAACCTCGTACAAGAAAATGCTGACCAGCAGCGCCGCCCGTGCCTGGTCCAGGGTGAAGTTGTCCTGCCATACATCGATCACCCCGCAACTGACGGTCACAAATTCTTTGCCTTCCTGTTCCTGATTCGCTTCCAGGGTGTGCAAACGCCCACATGCAAAGACTCCAAATAGAACCGCGGCCCATTCACGGGGCACGCCGAGGAGGGTTCCTGCTTGGTAGACCTCCTCAAATTGGGCGACAAAAGTCGGCCAATGGATTACAGGCAGGACGGAGTGAATGCAAGCGTAATACTGTCCCAGCAAGCGATTGGCCAGCTCCTTCGGGGGAAGGCGTGGAGGATCAGCGGTGATCAAGGACTTGGGGCCCGGCTGACGGTATGGAGGTGGCACCCTCAGGATCCCTTTGCCGTATTTTCGCAGATTTGCGCGAGCCTCGGCCAGATCCTGCATCACAGGCGCTTGTGGCCGGCGCGGGGGACGATACCCGGCGTCCGGAAGCTTTAGCTGAGGCTGCCCCGCACCATCAATATCCAGATCCATCAGATTGTCCGATCGTAACATGCCCGACCGAAGTTGCTGTAGTTGTTGCTTGGTCGACAGCAGCTGCTTTTCGAGGTCTTGGACTTGCCTGCAGTCAAATTAGAAAGGCAAGATTCCCACAAACACAACAGCCACGGCACGAACTTGATTGAAGACATGCGTCGATTCGTCTCCTTTGTAAATTGGCAGCGCACCTTACGGTTGGTGCATTCTGTGCAACTGGACGACTCGGAAGCGTCACACTAAATTGAATGAGCCATGCTGGGTTCACGAGGGCGACCACCAGGGTCACCTTCACTGCGGCGTAACGTACCTTGACTTTGCGTTCCCGACAGGCATCGCAACTGGGGTCCTTTCTTCGCTGTCGATAGGCCCTCTTTTGCTGCAAAGGCTGCTGTGACTGATGATGGGGGTGCGGTCCAGCCGCAGCACCTCCGCCCATCGGTTGAAGCAATCCGGGACCATTGAGGGGAGGCGCATCGGCGAGCATCGATGCGCCTTCAGCAGGAGAGCCACTCGACTCGTATGAACGAGCGTAGGTGGGAGCGTTTGTAACGGGAGGAGGTGGGGGATTTGGCATATGTTGTGCCAACGGTTGCAGTAGATGGGCCATCCTCAATCCGCTGTCGGGTCGACTCGGCGGAGCGGAGAGTAGAGGAGCAGGTGCGGGCCCATGTGGTTGAAATGGAGCTGGAGGCGAGGTCACCGCGTGCACCGGAGGAAGTTCATATGACCCTCCTGGTTGGTTCGGGCTACTCGAGGAATGATAGTAGTGCGTCTGCATGTCGACACCCGCAATGCAACCTCATAAGGGGGGACACTTGAGGGGGAGGAGAAGGAGGAGGGGGGATGTGCAAGCCCGGAGCGATTGCGGACCAGACGAAGCTGCCCGCTCGTCCGATGGAAGAAGCACGGAAGGCGGGGAGGACCTGGATGATACAAAGCGAGCAGAAAAAAGATAAAAGGTAGGAAGCACAAGCCGATGGGGAAACTGTCCTTCCTATAGTGTGCAACTCAAAATGCGACACTAGTGCAGAATGATGATAGCTGCAACAGCAAACAACGATGGGGAGGGGAAAAGAGGGAGGAATAATTATTGGACCCCGAATCGACGGCAGAAATCCCGAGCGCCAACCCAGAAAGAGGCCCGAGAAAGTGTGGATTTGAATCGGGAAGCTGGCCGCAGTGGCAAAAGATGGCAAATGGGGGGGATGGAAATCAATCAATCAATGAACTGTCTCGATCGCGCCAAAATTACACCCGAACCAGAGAGCCACAGGGTTCAATATGCTCCAGACCAGAAAGTTAAGTTGGGACGATGGGGCTACCGTGGGGTCATCTAGAAGCGGTAGCTCTCTTGTCGTTGGAGCGGACAGATGGAGATGAGTCGTCCTGTGGGCGCTGGTGAAGCCATACAACAGCCAAATAGGAAGGATAGAGATGAAAGAAACACCGAGATAGACGAGCTGCAAGGAACGTGGGCACGAAGCCAAGCACCAGACAAGAGGTCAGGGCACAGCGTTAGGCGAATGTATGATGATAGATGATAGTACTTTAGGCGGACGCTGAGTTGGAGGATTGGGAAGTTGGCAGACAAGGTAAAGTCAAAAATCGAATGAATACGCGGGCAGATTGTTGTTTTCTTTGGGCAAAGGAGAGAAGAAGGATAGCAAGGAGGAATAGTAAGTAGTAGTAGTTGTAGTAGTGGTTGTTGTTGTTATTGTTGTAGTAGTAAGGAAAGAGGAGAAGGGAATGACAGCCCGGGGACCACGAAGGTTGAATATAGTGTCAAGAGGAAGAGAATGAGAATGACGGCCAACGACAGTCATGGAAGGGATGATAAGCCAGTCGTCAGTCAGTCTCAGTCATACTTTGGATGAACTACTAAAGAAGAACGAGCAGACGTCGTCAGTCATCCATCCTTCATCGCCGCCTCGGAGCCTCTGGGATTTTCCTAAATTTTGTTTATTCTATTTTATTATTTTTTAATTGGGATAATATTTTTTAATATTATTACTACTGTTTTATTTTATTCGATCCGATTGTTTTCAGTTTAGTTCAGCTTCCCGTTTCCGAGCATCACTTGCCCTCTTCTACTACTAAACTACTAGTAACCTACTTAGATCTGGTCTATGAAACAAAGACCCCTACAACACTACTGGGGCAGACTGGCTGTCTTCTCATGAACCTTGCTTCTTCAAGAGTATCTGATTGCTACAACATTCTCACCCATCCCAGACAATTTCCGTCCATTCCGTTGGTGGCAGAGCCAGCAGAAGAGAGGGGAGGGGGGAAACAACTACTTACAATACCAGGGGGAAAAAGAACAAGCTCGACTCAAGCGCCGCTGCCCACTTTTTGCATGCGACCAGGCCTCGGATGGCGTGCCAGAGCTCCTACGCCAGGGTCCTATCCATGCCCAGGAATCGGCTCCGAAAGTCTCTCGGCTGACCCCGGTTACAGAGTTTAGTGCTAAGCAGCTCGGCGGTTGACAAAAATATTCAATAATCCCAAAAGCCATGGCTGAAACGAGACCAGGTGCCTACGCAAATCGGATCGAAGGGGGGTGCGGAGATTAGCAAATGAGCTTACTGCAGAAGTCTATCCTTAGGAATCTGTTGCCGACAGCCTTCTTTTTTGAATTTTTGAATTTTTGAATTTTTATTTTTCTCCTTCTTGGCCCCGGTTCCCGTTGATTGACTGGCGGGTTGGTTTTCCTGCGTGGGCTTTTTAGTTTTTATTTATTTTTATTTTATTCTACTTTTTTACTTTCTACTCTTTCTGTCTGGGTTTATTTCTATTTTATTATTATACTATATTAATTGCCGTCATTCTTGTGATTCTCTGTACTTCTACGGTCTTTTCTATGTCTGCTTCCACCCCCTCATTGCTTATTCAATGCTGATTGATGAGATAATTGCTTTTTCCTGATGGCCAGATGAATTTCAACCTGATCTCACATTGGGTCAATTCGGAGGGGCAACACGAGCGGGATGACGATGACGATGCTGGGACCAGTTCCGACGGTCCATCTGCTAAAATTATTATTGTCTCTCGATGCGAATGTTTCTCATATATTAAAAACCACTGGCCCTACGGAATAGCCCGGTGTGTGGGTTCTTTGTTTGATCGTTGCGACTTCTAAATTGCTTCCTGTGCCTCATGGAATTACTATTATTATGGATTACCGAGTTAGCACCTACTGCTAGATAGATACTAACTACTTAGTACTAAAACCAGCACTACAACGGCCCGTCATCGCGTGTGTCTCTTTGCTGCACCACAGCCTTCCGATAACAAGCTCCCGTGTTGGGCTCGCCGTTTTCTTTCCCTCCCCCATTGTCCATCGCTTGGGGGCCTCTTTCTTTCTTTCTTTCTTTCTTTTTTTTTCGTTGCGCTTACCCGCCCACAGGCTGTTGACTGTTGAGTTGGTTGTTCTTAGTAGAGGATCAGACCTCTGGCTAGTTGAGAGTATCCCGAGATCGACAGTGGCAGTGTCTTCCTGGGTACCGGCTATCCACAACGTGTCCGTCACAATTGTTTTTTTTTTATTACCTGTCTGCTCGTCTTAATTTGGTTTCATTCTACCTTTTTGTATTTCTATTATTTCTTTATTTCTTTTTCATCTACGGATTGCCCAGGAATTAATGAAAAAAAAAAAAAAATCCTGGTGAATCCATGGGCCACGAGGTCCCACTCAAGAAAAGGGCGGAACGGCTGAGCTTCCCAGAGGCTGGGACGGAAGAACGGTTGAGAGTAGTTGGAAGGGGATTTTAACTATGGTTCTGACTTCTGACATTCGTCGGTACGGAGAGCAACTCCGTGCTTAAATTCTGACCTGCAGCTGAGGAGGTTCCTTGGCCCTTGACTAGTCTTTTTCTAGTTTGTAATCCATGAGGCGGAATTGACATGGATCAGGTTGTTCTGGGCAGGACTGGCATTTGGCCTTGGCCGGGCTTGGATTGGTACGTCTCTCGCTTCTTCCAGTTCAGCCTGGAACCGCCGTGGTTCGCTGATGATCATCACGGCAACTCCTGGCAGTCCAACTGTTAGCTAGGCTGTCTACAGTAAGCCTGTCCTCTCCTTCCCCCCTCCCCATTCTCCATCCATGGATGGAGCCCTGGGAGTCGTCAAAGCCGAGTGGCTTTCCACTTTCCTTCCCCCCCTCCTCTTCGCATCTACCCATCAGCTTGCTACTTTGGGTTGGTTGGCGTGTCCCAGGAGGTCACAGTGATGACGGAGACATGGAAAGTCAAAGCCGCCTTTACCACCTGGTCGATGGGGCTCCTCAACGGTTTGATTGGATATTGAAGCGGATCGTTTTTACTATTCTTAATTCTCCTCACCGATGCTGATGGAGTCCGTGTGTTGCTGGTTTCCCCCCTGAGTACGTGGGAGGGATGAGTGTGATTTTGGGGATGTGTTTCCTGAAACGTCGTCGGAGGCGCATTTGCCCTCGGGCCGTACAGTTCGATAGTCTCCAGCAGAATGGTTGGCTGTCGGACAGTAACCTGCGCGCGCCACGATTGCCGGACCCTACTTAGTAGCACTACAGGGTACTAGTCAGTGACTCCCGCGGATTGACTCGGATGAACAGGGTGCTACATAACTCTACAGGGCATACGTACATGTCTCCGAGAGTACAAGAATGTGCAAGGGGAGACAAGACATTCATTCACTCATTCATCAGCAGCAGCAGCAGCATCTTTTTTTTGGGTTACTAGACTATTGTCTACTACAACCATCCGTACCAAACGAGCAGTTCAGCGTCGTTCTGACGATCGACTCGGAATCCCGCCTCCGGACAGAGCCTATTGGCCGAGCCACATGGACGCACGAGGCAGCAACCGTGGTCAAGTTCCACCGCAAATCCTGCATATTACACGATGGGGAATAATAATAATGTTAATGCCTCTTTCTGTCTCTGGGCATCGTTTTCGGTCTCTGTCAATTGAGCCGGTGAGCTGCTTTTTGCTGCTGGCTGCTGTTGCTGCTGCTGGCTGACGATGACTTTGGATCACCGTGGCGGAGTTGGAGTCTTACGAGTGACGCCAGCTTCGGACGAAACACGGAGAAAACCGCCCGGGTGGTGGCCAGAGCGAAAAATCCCCGGCCCATCAGTTTTGTGTTTTATTTTTAATTTTATTTATTATTTATTATTTTCTAGTTTCTGATCTACTTTTTCTCTACGGATAAAGAGAGCGAGCAAGAGAGAGATCGGTTCGCCTAGAATTTGGTTAAGATTGCCATTCCTCGGCCTTTGCCATATTCTTGCTCCTGCTGAATGTAGTTTAGTATGCGGGATCTGATGGGAGATTTTTCGTTCTTTTTTTTTTTTTTACCTCTCTCTCCGGATTCCCCTCTTTCCCTTTTCCTCACTGTTGGCCGGTTAATCTTAACCTCTTTAGCTCTTCAGAATTTTCGCTTGGCGCCTTCTCCTACGCAATTCATTTGTATTTGAGAGGCTTTTTGAGGCTTGTGTGGTCACCGTATCACTTGCCATCCACCGCCGTCAGCCTGGGCCGTGGACTAGCTTTAGCCGTCAGATCTCTGGACCAATGAGGGGGCGTATGTTCCTTCTCCTCAGCAGTTGCCATTCAACCGTCGACTCGGGCGAGAGACTATCATCAAGTAGTCGAACTTGGCATCCCTATCCCAGTATCTAGTGGTGTGTCTGTGTCTGTGTGCGCGGCATCCATCAAGGCTCGGGCTCCTGACGGTCATGTCGATCCAACAATTCAACGGAAGGGAAAATAGTGGAAACAGGGTCCATTGCTTGTCGCACTGATAATCAGCAGACGCTCCCTCGGAGATGTCTGAGTCCAGCCATCGATCGTACTGTAGGCATCGTGTTCCGAGTGGCTAGCGGACGAGGATGATGTTTGGTTGGGCCACCATTCTACTACTTGTTCCCTTTCGGCTCGCGGATTCCGGAGAGCCCAGTAACTGACGCATCTTCCTGGTACCTACATATTTTCAAGAAAGCACGAGGACTAGCTCCGAGTCGCGATGACCGTCGACCGAGCGCCGACTATGACCGTCGTGTGCCTGGGCAGAACTAGAGAAGTTGGGCGGGGTGGGCACGAGCTCTAGCCGCATCATGGATCCAGCTGCATGCTGCTATTTCTTTCTACTGGACACACACGCACGCACACACACACACAAAATGTTGCCCTGTCTGCTACGGAAATGATATCCCCAGCCAATCTACTGGGAGAGGTCGCACAGACGGACAACATCCGCATTCCTCGGCGGTGCAGGTTACGCATTCCCCCCCTGTCTTGTGCCGTGGGCTAGAAGCCTTGCTTTCTCTTTTTCGGCCCCTCATGCTTCATTTCGTGATTTGTTAGAAAGTATTACTCTGATCATTGTTTCTGATATTTTCGGTCTGCTTCTGGGCCTATCGACTCGAACATTACATCGCTCAGGCCTATCCCTTTGTGGAGGGCCAGGCGCACAGCCCGGTCATACTAATCGGATTAGCAAAGCATAGTACGGAGTAAGATGTCGCGAGGTCTATTGTCGCGGAAGGATTCGATTTTGAGGCCTGCGGGTTGGTTGCATGACGGCCCGTTGGCTGGAAGCTCGGCTCAGGAACCTGGACAGCTCTAGCTGGGCATCTAGGCTCGTGTCGAGATGATGCGTGGGCTTGGGTCCCCGCATCAGTATCAGCCAGGTGTGCTCAGATGCCTGATGGTGAGCCTAGGCTCCGATGTCGATTGCTGGATACCACATTGGTTATGCCCATTTTACGAAGCGGAATTCCATAATATCCACCGAAATTATCATCATATCGACCATCAACCACGGGGAATGAAAAGGAGATTAAGAGGTCGTGACTAAGGATGACTAGCGACTGCAAGTCTGGTAAGGCCGGAGAGGTGGTGGTGGTGGTATGTAACGTAGCCGGGCCGGATATTCTAACCGAGATCTCTAACGATGCGACGATACGGTTAGACCTTTAGAGCCCGTCTTGACGGTCCTGGAGATGACCGGAAATTAAATCAACACCACCATCATCATTCACCCATGATAAGACAAGCCACCTGAGGGGTAAGTAGATAGTCGACGCCAATGGGATCGATCACACAGTATACAGCAGGAATTAATAGGGATTCCTTATGACCTATAACAAGATGATTAAGAACAAGGTGGAGAGAGATGGTTACGATAGTCGTGATCTCTCTTCCCAATCCGTCTCCGAGACTCCGAGGGGGCTGTCATGTCAGCCAGTCGCACTTTCCGGTGAGCTAAAGTTAGCAGCCAGTCAAACGCATAGAAAAGGACGCAGATTCCGACAGCCGGACGGGAAAGGATCCCTTTGGAGTATGGCTAGATACGTACAGTCCTAGACTAATGCTAATGTGGTCCGGTTTGGAGACAACCACCGGGTAACTGACCGGATGACTATTATTGGGTGAATGACAATTTCTCTTGCTCTGCTAGTAGCAGCGCACAATCAATCAATTCCCAGGGTCCGGTGCCCCCTCTCCCCTCCCTCCGGCCTCCATTATCCATCCCCATGTGGACGGTCCATCCCGTGACAGTCTGCCGCTGCACCCCATCCTGTAACCATCTCTCTTGGATAGATGATGGTCTCATCTCTTCCCAATTCCTCTTTTGCGCACGCGCTGATTTACTAGTGAGTTTCCCTTCCCTGTTACATCCCACGGCAAATCTTGGCTAGCTTAGTAGTTAGCTGTCTGGCCAGACCGACCCTGCATCGCTTCTACTAGATAATCATTTCGTATTCTCAATTGCTACTAATGCTGAAGGGGCGGTGTCATGAGGGAGTGGATAGGGTATACTAATCTCCCCTCCCTCCCTCTCTATCTATCCAATCCTCATTTCCTCTGGCGGCTACGTAACCTAGTACTACTATACTACGATCTAGTAGCGAGCCAAGTAAAGAAAGTAACTTTCCGAGGTGGTCAGCCCAGGAAACCTATCCGTCCATACAAGCCCGTCCGTCTCCATCGCAAACGCCAACAAATTCGGTGAGTTCCGGTCACCGGGACTAACCTTCTAACCCACAGTAACAGCAACAAGGGTCTCTTACACAGACACACCCTCTCGCCAGTTGCCACTGCCTCCTGATTTCATCCTTTTTCGTTCCCTCCCCCCTCCCCTCTTTCCTTCCCGCACCCATCTCTGTAATCTGTATGCTGCTTGTCCACTGACCGGCCCTCGGCACACCACTTCGGTCGGCTCAATGCCCAATGATTGACGATTGCCCGTGAGCAGGACCAGTCCACGTGGGGGATGGATGCACTGACCTCTTGTTGTTTGTTATTGCTTGGGCCAGTGGTGTTGGCTGATTTGATTTTATCTTCTCTGTCGTCGTAATTCGATTCCACTTGGGGTGGGAAGAGTGAGGTCATATCCTTTTGGGATCGATCGATCTGTCGATGAGTAGTACTAGTATTTTAGATAGGCGATGCCGGTTAGGCAGTACTGTGATTGTCATTATATGTGTGGAATTATAGTCATCTATGATCTTTATGATCTAATATGTGATATAGTATCTGCTACAAACAATAGCAATATGCGATATTCTTCTACTGATGATAAGGATCTTGCGAGATTAAACATTAACATTAACATACTGGAAGTAGATACTAGTAGTGAGTTTGTGCTCAATCGATTAATGAATCAAGGATTCCGAGATCGTGCGGATCAATGTTCGATGAGACGATAGTTTCTATTATGCCAATTGATTAATAGTTATATCAAGTATAATTGTGCAGTATCGTGGGCTATTGCAAGTAGTAATACTATCTAAGCGATGCTCGTGCCCTACCTACCACTACCTATGTCGGACATGCGCTAGGCTAGTCCGCGAGGCTTTGTTTTTCCCTGGGATAGTCTTTCTCCGGGGTCAGTGCTTCCAATATATTCACAGTAGGATAATGCTAATTGATTCGTATGTTGAATTGGATTAATTGGTGCAGTAATGAGGCAATTTGTTGATGCAGATTGCTTAGTTGCTAGGGTATTACTACTGAGCAAGGAGATAATGAATATGAAAGAAGTATCACTCATCAATCTATACTAGTAGTCTACTTTGTAATTATCAAATAAAATCAAGCAACGCATAATCATATCTTACGCACAGCATCCGACCTGACTACATACTCCCCCCCTCCTCCTTACTTCTTCCCTATTCCATAGTATAGTATAGTATAGTGTGTCGTGCTTCGCCTCGGCTATGACGATACTTCCTCTCAACAGTCAACTAGGTAAGCAAGCTAACTAGCTAACTAACTAGTCAGTCACTTAGCGAGGACAACACCTACACGAACAAATTTGACTCGACTGATCCTTTCACCTACTAACTAGTCAGCTAGTTAGCTAGTTGGTTACTATCTAGCTCAGTGATTAATCTATACTAGTAATAACGCCCAAGCTAAGCCTTCTAATCAAACGGGACAGCTCCACGATGAGTACTACGGTATACTAGGTAGGTAGTGGTTAGTGGGTAGGTAGCCCCGAAATGATCGGAGGTGGTTCCGATAGTTAAGCCGGTAGACTACGACGTACTCCGTACGGAGGAAGATGATTTGGCGGGGTGGCTTGAGGGAATTGGAATTGGCGGAGCTGGAAGTTCCGCTGCAGTGACTGGACGTTGGTTATTGCTTCTCTCTTCGTATTAATTTGAAGTGCTAAGTGGTTAGTTGGGTATATCCGAGGTGTGTGTCGGAATGTCCGATGGGAATAATCACATGAGTAGTATTAGGTATAATCTACATTCATTGATGGAAAAGGAATTATAGTACTCTGTGCTATTGGCATGAGTATCATATTATGAATATATTGATAATCAAATGAACTCTCAGAACTCGAAACTGACAGACAGACAGAAATAATAGAGAAACACCCAACTCCCCCAATGCCATCCATCATCCATCCATTTCCTTCCAATACTACTTACTACATAAGAACACTCCAACGTAATATGATAAAGTCATATCTTCATCCCCTCCCACCCCCTAACAACAACCTCCACAATCCTCTTCACCCCCTCAATCTCCTCCTCAGCCATCACCCCCATCGTCGCAGGCTCAATACTCCCGCCCACATAAACCGGCGTTTTCATTCTCCTTGCGAGAATCTTCGCAATCCGGGCTGTGTATTCTACACTTCCCGGGGAGGAGTAGATGGTTGTTGATAGCACATTTTTGGGATTCATTCTCTGCAGTTCTTGTTAGATCTTCTCATACCATCACTGATACTATACTAGTAGTAGTTTATATAGTAGGTTATGGTGATGTTGATGGGTATATATATGTATAGTAAGGAGCGTATATTCATAATGGCGAAGAAGCAAAATGGTAGTAGGGAGAGGGAACAGGAATAGATAACTTACATCCGGCATCGCATATACAAAACTCCCCATCGGCTTGATACTCCCCGCTGCATCACCTGGCGTCGACGAGGTCAGGAATACCGTGCTGCAGGTTTGGTGTCGTGTAAGGTGGATGTGGGCGGTCGTGTGGGGGGTGTAAGGGAGGGGGAGGGAGAGTTCTTTGATTTCTGTTGTCATCTTTGCTTCCTTTTTTTCTTCCTTTCTCTTATTTTGGAGATGAGGTGGTATTGTTGTGTGGTGTATGTTGAGTTCAGTATGTTGTGCGTATTTTTTGCTGTTTGTAGTTCAAGATGGATGTTTGCTGGCTAGCCAGCTGGGTCGAAGTTTGGTGGTTTGGTTTGCATCACCGCTTTGAGGTCCGCATCTTCCCCGCCAAAAGTCAGTGAGTTTCTTGTGCGGGTCCCCCGCTACATTTCTTGCGACGGTTTTTGGGTTACCAACTGCTGTTTTTTTTTTTCTTTGGCTACAGTAGGTTTTTGCACTTAGGTAGGTAGATATCTTCTTACTTGGCTACAAGGAATTGTCGAGCATTGGGATTAGGTTGCTGATTATACGAATTGCTAGTCACTGCACCATGGACGAGCACGAGCCAGATGAAATTCGCAGCTGGTCGGGCGATTTCGACCCCTTAGCTGATAATGCCGAGCGCCGTGTGCTCTTTGCTGCATTTGATTCTTTTAGGTGAGTCATTTGCTATGTGACCGGTCGTGTTATTTAACTTAATCGCTGGTAGTCCGCTGGCATGTCATCTACGTTGCTAACACCCTCAGGCAATATCGGAGAACGGCGCACATGAACACAACTCACCGTCGTCGTCAGGCATTCTATGCCCTACCATCTGCCCACTGGCAGATGTTGTCTGAGCCGCCATTCTCCATCCTCGACAACTTCAACCGCGTGGATGACGCCATTGACGTGAACGCCGACATCGCAGATGCCATCCTGACCACCGGTCTCTCGTCGTTCGGGCTATCAGCGAACCCTGACCCCAACGACCCGCGTGAGAACTGGCACGGGACGGCTACTCAATCCGATGTCAACAAGGCGCACTCCACCCTGAGACAGTTCTACCGGGACTGGAGTCAAGAAGGCCAAGCAGAGCGAGACGTCTGCTACGGCCCCGTGCTGTCCGACTTGCAGAACGAGTTCGGCGCACGGATGGGCTCCGAAGACGAGGACGAAGTCAGGGTGTTGGTTCCTGGCGCCGGTCTGGGGAGACTGGTGTTTGAGATCTGTCGGCAAGGCTTCGCCGCGGAAGGAAACGAGATCTCCTACCACCAGTTGCTGGCGAGCAGCTGGGTTCTGAACCACACGCTCGGCCCTCAGAAACACGCACTGCATCCCTTTGCGCTGCATTTCTCGAACCTCCTGTCCCGGGAGCAGCAACTGCAGGAGGTCAAGATCCCGGATCAGCATCCGGGTACGGCTATGGTGGAAGCCCAGGCGAATTCGGCGCCATTTGGGCGCATGAGCATGTCGGCGGCCGACTTTACTGTGTTGTACACCAACCCCAGCAATGAAGAGGTGTTTGATGCCGTGGCGACAGTGTTCTTCATCGACACAGCGCCGAATCTCATCCGGTATATCGAGGCGATCCGACACTGCCTCAAGCCCAACGGCCTCTGGATCAACGTGGGACCGTTATTGTGGCATTTCGAGGACGGCAGCAACCGCAGTCAGCACGGAGGTAGTGAGGAGGGCCAGGGTGACCAGGGGATTGGGGAGCCCGGGAATGTGGAGCTGACGGAGGCAGAAGTGTTTTGCCTCGTGGAGCGAATGGGCTTTGCGATCGAGAAGCGCGAGGCGCCGCACGAGCGACCCATGTGTGGATATATCCAGGACCCGAACAGTATGTTGCAGCCATTGTATCGGCCGTCGCATTGGGTAGCACGGAAACAAAATGTATAAAGGATGTTATATACGACTGATTTTATTGAAGTCTTGTAGATGATGGCAGGTGATGATGATAGCAACCATCAAAACAGGCGGGTGTCGGTCGGGAGTAAGCAAGCAAGCAAGCAGCCAGCCAGTCAACAGGGAAACAAAAGATGTGGGATGTTGGTCTGGTGTTGTGTCATGAAAGATACCATACGGAAATGAAACCAGATCGGCGATACGGGACACAGATTTTCAGCCGCAGACAACGAAACAAAGAAGAGGGAAGAAGACAGTTTGACAGACAGACAGACAGACAGAAACACAGACAGACAAGGCTGGCGAAGGCTTAGCGGGCGTGGCTGAACCCGCCGGTTCCTTGGGGCCATTCCTTGGAGTGTGTCCACTCCGTCCATGGGAGGGAGGCTAAGTAAATCCTAGTAAGTCAGAGAGGAGTGGAGTGGACGGCCAAACAAAGGACACCGTCCGGGCAGATGCAGATCCACCCACAACAAGAAGACGGATCGGCTCAACTGCCAACACTCGATTATAAGGGATCATCGGGTGTCAAATCTCGAGTTAAACAAAAGTACTTTGGACGGTAGACGAGGAGGCTGGGAAGATGAGAATTGGGATGATCGCACGCGAAATACTTACTCTCATCCCACTGTAGATGGGTAATTTGTGGAGGATGAGTCTCGGAAGGGTTCTTTACGCCGAGGCCAAACTGGGGGGTTCCTTTCAGTATCAAACCATACCGTACTGTATGGTATCATCCATCATAGAATCAGGCTGAGAAAGAATCAATCATGTTCAACCATGAATTCGCCAGACTTTATCTGGTCGAGATAATACTATATTACCTGGATTGTTTTCTTTTTCTTTTGATCGCATCCAGACCCGTCAAGACAGACCCTGAGAGTTAGTACAGTCATTAGTAGTAGTAGTCGGAGAATTTGGGGAAGGGGAATCCAGGGTTGACAGTCAGAACAGACATGATCGCGACCCTCTCAATTTAATCATTCCAGAGCACGGATTCCCTGCCATCAAATCAATCCCAAATCTCACAACTTCATAAGCAATGGTGGTTTGTTAGTTAGTGAGTGACTTAGTTAATTAGCTGGGCGTTTAATTAGTTAGTTCTTCTTTCGCTTTCTCTTTTCTTGCCTTTACCTTTCCATCCCCCCTTTCGAGGCTGAATCTACCCGATCCTTGACAGTCTCATCGCATCGCATCTCCCCCGCAATCAATTTGGTGACAAAGTTCAGTTCAGTCAACTTTCCCGTCTGTTTGTGTTTAGTTTAAACTGTTGCTGCTCCTCCTCCTCTTCCTCCGACTCCGCCTCAATCGATTCCACGCCCACTTTTCCCTGCCATTCCCATTCCATTCCTTTTGGGGAGGAGAGAGTCACTCACTCACTCCCTTCTCTTGTCCTTCGTTCTTACCTGCTTTGCTCTGCTGCCTTACCCATCAGACCCGCTTACTCTCTTACTCTCTCTCCCTCCATTCTTTCCCTCCCCCTCTTCCTTCCTTCCTTCCTTCCTTCCTTCCCTTTTCTCTCCTCTCCTTCCATTCCCTCCCCTCCTTCCCTTATTTCCCTCCCCCCAATTTGCATCCTCCCTCCGTGCCATCATCCGGTCTTCCATATCGACCTGATGAGCTCACGGTTGAACTTCAAATCGTTCACCTTCGGGACGAAGCGCAACAAGAACCACTCGCCTGTGCAGCACAGCCAACCTGTGAACGCTCCTTCTACCAACACCCTCGTCGCCGCTCCCTCGGCCACTTCGCCCAGCTCTCCTCCCTCCGGTACCAGTTCCTCGACCACCAGCCTCCCCATGAATAACCAGAATACTTTGGGGCGCCCCCCGAGCTACACCTACAACACCGCCGGCCGGCCCACCAGCCCTCTGCCGCCAGGCCAACCTATGCCTCACCACCCTCCGCCGTTAAATACCAACCTACCGTATCCTCAGTCCTCCATGGCCCCCATGGGTGCTCCCCCCGGCTACGGGTTACAACAGCAGCTCGGTCCTGGCATGGCTCCCGGCCTTCACCAACCCCAGTACGGCGTGCGGAACCCCGCCGTCGAAGTAGAAGGCGCCGGCCGGAGCAAGGCTCAGTTGATTGTGGGAATCGATTTTGGCACGACATTCTCCGGTGTAGCTTTTGCATTCGCGACCAACAACGAGGCGAGAGAGGACATCATCACAGAGTGGCCTGGCGCAGGCACTCACACCAAACAAAAGGTGCCGAGAACTCCTCCCCCCCCCCCCCCCTCACTTTCGCACATGACCAGCTTACTGACCAGAGTCTCTGCTTGGCTCGTCTAGATCCCGACCGTTTTGTACTACGATCAGTACCAAAAGGTGGTGGGTTGGGGCCCGGATATCGCTGATGCTTTGGCCCCCACCGGATACCCGAAGCAAGGGGTACAGAAAGTCGAGTGGTTCAAGCTTCAGCTGATGCTCTCCGGGAACACGTACATTGACCCCATCAACCTGCCGCCTTTGCCTCCGGGCAAGTCGGAGATCGATGTCGCCGCCGACTACCTCTTCAAGCTGCGACAGGCCATGCGGGCCCAACTCCAGAAGACCTTGGGTGAAGTGTTCACTCGTGAAGAGCGAAACATTCGGTACTACATCACCGTACCGGCCATTTGGAACGATGCTGGGAAAGCAGCAACACGAGCCGCCGCCCTCCAGGCCGGCTTCCTGAGAGACGAGAATGACAACCGCCTAACCTTGGTTTCCGAACCCGAGGCAGCGGCACTTTTCTGTGCAAAGACCGGTCTGCTGAACCTCAAGATCGGTGACGCCATTCTGATTGTCGATTGTGGAGGTGGTACGGTCGACTTGATTGCGTATGAGGTCGAAGAAGAGCAACCGTTCAGCGTCGCGGAATGCACCGCGGGCTCTGGAGATTCGTGTGGTTCCACCGCGCTCAACCGGAACTTTAGCAACATTCTCCGTGCGAAGATTCGTAAGATGAAATTGCCGGATGGCTCCCGCACGGCAGGCAAGGTTTATGCCAAATGTATCATGGACTTTGAGAATCGGATCAAGGCCGACTTCCGCAACAATGGCCAGAAATGGGCAGTGGATGTCGGAATTGAAGCCGACTTCCCGGACGCAGGCATCGAGGAGGGCTACATGACGTTCACTAACGAGGAGATCCTGCAATGCTTCGAGCCCGTCGTGAATAGGATCCTTGAGCTGGTGCGCAATCAAATCATAGCGATCCAAGCGCAGAACAGGTCACTTCAGGTTTGTACCCAGCATCCGTCCGCCCAGCTGCATTGGAAAGCTAACCAGAATTGCAGAACGTCCTTGTCGTTGGTGGTTTCGGTGCCTCGGAGTATCTTTTCCAGCAGATCAAGCTCCACGTCCCTCCACAGTATCAGTCCAAGGTAGTCCGACCGATGGACTCGGTCGCTGCCATCGTCAAAGGTGCCGTAACTGCCGGAATCACCGAGCGGGTGATTACGCACCGTGTAGCACGACGCCATTACCTGATGGCCACGCTGCAACCCTTCAAGGAAGGATATCACCCCGAGCAATACCGTGTTCCTAGTCTTGACGGCCGCGACCGATGCAAGTACACAAGGCAAATTTTCGTGCAGAAGGGCGAGCGGGTGAAAATTGGCGAGCCTGTCAAGGTGAGCTTTTTCCGGCAGGTTGCGCCGGGAGCGACCCTCATGTACGAGGATATCCTGTACGCGTGCGATGAGGATGTGTGTCCCGAGTACACTAAGGATCCACGTAAGTTGCATTTCGGACTGGCTGCCTTGTTGATGGGGTGCTAACGGTGAATGCAGGTATCAAGGAAGTCGTCACCCTCACCTCCGATCTGTCCCGTAAGAACTTGGAGACCGATTTCGAGCGCATGGACACGCCTCAGGGTACTTTTTACCGAGTGTACTTTGACATTTACCTCACACTGGATGGTAGTGAATTCAGCGCAGAGCTTGTCTGTCAGGGCGAAGTGATGGGTCGGTGCCGGGCCAAATTCAGGTAGACGGCGCCCTGCTTGGGTTAGGCAGGCAGGCAGCAGAGAGCGCTCCTGTATGGATGGTCCGAAAAAAGAACCGACTGAGAGTACAAATCGGGTTGAATGTGGAAGTCCCAACTTTTGTGATACACCAATGATGATCAGCACTGCACTGGGAGGGCGTTTTATATGCTTGAGCTTGCGTCCGTGTGGACGATTTTGGATATGATCATTTTGTTGCGAGCCCCACCGATTTTGGGGCCAATTGTCTGTGTTTTCTTATTCCCCTGGATACCTCTTTGGATGAGCTTTTTGATGAATTCTATTTAATCCCTTAATGGCAAAACTATCCATGATGGTTTCTTCCACCGCCGCTGTCACTTTCGGGACCTAGTCATTCTTCCGGGCCGACTACTACTGTACTAGACAGGTCAATAATTACCGTCCAGGTGCATATACCCAATATTAGGGACTACATGATTGGCTATGAAAGTGTCCGACATTGAGTTATTTTGTTTTTTCCCCCCATCATGCTTATATTATCAGGAACCCCTCGGTATGAAGCACTGTGGTAATTATTGGGCACCATTATGAACAACCATACAATAGCCATCTCCATCAACCCATACGGAGTAACTGGAGTGACTACTCCTTCTTTAGGTAAAGACTGCTTCTCACGCTCTCTACAGTAGGAAACCAAGATAAGCCACGTATTTCCTTTCTTCCAAGAGACGGATAACATAGACGTGTACGTTCATGCACGTCTGACGCTGGTGGCTGGTTTGGGATCAAGGCATCCATCATCCATCATCCATCATCCATCATCCGTTTTCGACAAATGAAGCTGTCACAACTACTGTATAATAGAAAATGTGGGGTGCTTATTGGATGAATGCATTGATAGATATATGCATTGGGGAGGACATGGGAGATAGCCATGCCCTTCCTGTCTTGTCTTGTCCTATTATACGCATACAGTGATAGACAGGTGCGTCTGACCAGTTGGGGGTTATGGAATAGAAATGAATGGATGCTAGAGCCACGTGTGTGTGTGTGTGTGTGTGTGTGTGTGTGTGGGTGTGGGTGGGTGGGTGGGTGATGGGAGGGAGCCTGGGAAGATGTGTGTTCCTTACTCAAGAGGTAAATGCATAGAGTAGCTAAGAGGAAGAGACTAGAGGGAATGCTTGATGATATGCTTACAAGGGCTCTTCAGCAAGACGTAAGCTGCACTTTAGACCTGAATGATCACTCCAGGGCATGGGGGAATCTAATTGCCGTAGCTGTAGACCCTGTCCCGCGCTGTTGATTGCACCGGGATGAAGAATGTCCATCTCTTGCCCCTTCAGGCCGAGAACGGCCACTTTGTCTAACCGTCCTGGAGGGAAAGGTTCCCGACCATCAAGACCCCAGGTGAAGCCCGGTTCGTCGGGGTGCAGCTCGTTCCACACATCTACCAGACCGTTGGTGGCCACGAGACTGTCATCCTCTGGGAGGACAGGGTTGAAGTCTCCTGCGACGAAGCCATGCCCGGCACAACGGAGACTATTCGCAACGATGGCGAGCTGCCGCGGACGACAACTTGGCTGGAAAGCAAGAGAGTCCAGATGCACGTTGACCAAACGGACACGGGTAGCGGATTGGGGCATGAAGACATCACAGCAGAGAGCGTCTCGGTCAAACTTACTTGGATAATCAACTCGCCAGACTGGTCCGAGGCATGCTTTGTCTGGGTCCTGACTGTCTGTACTGAAACTGGCTTTGGATAAGAGTATCACGGTAATGAATGCGAGTCCCCCATAATTGCTGGAGTCCCCCTCGTTAGAATACCAATTCTCGCGAATCCAGGGTTCATTGAGGAGGTAAAACAGTGCTGCCTTAGGGACTTCTTGGAAGAAGAGTATGTTGGGTGGGGGTGTTTGATTGCGTATGGTGGAAATGATGCCGGCCATACGGTCATCGGGAAACTTGGCGAAGGCATCTACATTCCAAGTTACAAGGTTAAGTGCAGGTATCTTCAGTTTCGCTTTGTCTGAGGCTGACATTGTGCTCTCATCGCAAGTCACTGATGTAGAGGGTGGAAGTGAGCTCCAACAATCGGAGAGTGCATCGAAGGAGTACCATTCCTGAAAAATTGGCGGGGCATCCGCATCAGCTGGTAGCGTAGGGAACTGTGTGGAAACATTTGCTGAGGGAGTCATGGTTGTGCAGTGCAAAGACACGTTCCTCACGATCTGTCTAGATGACCCAATTGGGAGGGGTGGAGAGGCTTGGTGATGAGCCTGCAGTGGCAGTTTTCGTTGGATCCGAGGATGAAACAACGAGGGGGGTGACACAGCTGGGGCGAAGTGCTTGCTTGCTCCCTGGAATAAGGACGAGGGGAAGAAAGAAGGAGGAGGGGAAGATGCGTTGGGATGGACGTTGGAGCGAGCCTCCTTGCAATCACATGATGCAGGGGTCATTCACCAGTTGGATCACATGATGGCTTCCAAATCGCTCAAACAGGAAGGCCACTGCATCCACGTTTTCACTCTGCTGCGAGGAGACCCTCCAAACCTGTCTGTCGGGCGTCTTCCCCCTTCGTGGCAGCGTCTGTGTTCCGTCGGCTCAATCGATTTCATCATCTTACTAAGATCTAGGCAGCGCCCTGTTCAGCTGCCTTGAAAAAGCCAAGGCCACTAGAGCCCCGTTCAGCAACGGCGGCAGCAAACCCTGGCCATCTGGACTACTTTCTCCCTCTACGAGACGAGACACGCCCTCCCCGATCTAAGCCCGAGTGGTAGCCGGTCTTGTACTTCTGGTCCTAGAGGCTGGGTAAGACGCCCTGACACAAGTACGAATAATTTACCGTACAAGCTGCCCTTTAGGGCGACCGGCCAGTGGCTTATCAGCTACCAAGACCGGTGTAGACGTAGAACTAAGTCTCATTGCCATGCGGAGAATCGTGGAGAACCACCATGGTAGGACCGGCATAGCCGTCCGTGCACGGTGAGTCGATCCTCTTGGGACTTGGACCCAACTTGGGCCTAGTCGAGTCCCACAGCACGGAATTGCAGCTTCCTCGACCACTCCGATGGCGTGGTCCAGAAAGAGGAGCCCTCTGCTTAGTAGGCTCCCAAAGACTCAGGCCTAGTCTGAGCTGAGTCAATCCGTCGCTACGGAGTAATGCCGTATGGCCCGCCGAGCTTCTTGCAAATCCCTCTTCAATCATTCGACGATCACTGACGAAAGGTGGGTTACCACACCGTGCGCCGGTGTTTTTCTGAGGCCTAGAGAGTCTAGACATGAGTTTTGGCCTGTACCGTATGGACTAAGATAGTAGGCTGTGCCGAAAGGCAGACAATTTTGGGCCCGCAAGCCAGCCAGTCCACTTAGAGCGTCGTCGTCAAGTCAAGGCAGTAGACACTGGGAACTCCCCACTGTCCCATCGTTGCTATCGGCAAGCTGGCGTACAAAAAAGCAAGTTGGGGGCAATGAAAGTCCATTTCGGTCCGAGAGCCCGCTGTGTCTCGGAGGATTTGATACTCTCGGTGGATGATTTTGGACAGATGTGACGAATGTAAACTGAAGAGGAGAACCCGAAAAAAGAAAAAGGGAATGCAAGAAAACAGGGTGATTAACCTTGATCTTCTGGCGGAGGAAATCTGAGATCGCCCCAACAATGATGGAAGGGGCAATGTAAGCAATCCCGAAAGAGTATAGAGAGAGGATGGGAAAATCAAAAATCAAAAAAAGAAATGAGAGGAAAAGCAAAAAAACGCGGCATAAGCAACGTAAAAGATAAACCAAAAGTGGAAAAAGGAAAAAAAAAAAAAAAGACTCAAAAGCCAGCTAGATGAGACGAGTGGGAGAAAAAGACGCATTCTTTCTTGAGACACCGCCGTCTTGTCGCACATTGAGAAGAGCAAACGTAACGGACACTGATAATTAGTTCCCAATTAAACTGGACCTGCGGCAAGCGCGCTTTGCGCGAACTGGGGCGGTTGCAGCGCAAAACCCCAGATGGCTTCATTTAGGATGAGTGGAGAAAAAAACAAAAAGAGCAGATTCTGGACTCGTGCCGGAGGTGGATCGCCCGTCAGGTTATTTCATAATTTTCCATCACGCCCACGCTGAGCATCAACTTACCATGGATGGGATGCACGTCCCAACACAGTAAGTAGAATTCCACTAGCGGATGAGTAGCGTATAGTCTGCGCCAGAGGCCCGGCAGGACTGCAAGGACACCTCACAGTACGTCAGTGCCGACCTGGGGCTTTCTCTTAACGACTTAGCTCCAATATAGTGGCATCGCTGCGCCGGAGCTGACTGACCAGTCGCAGCAACTGGAATGACTAGACTGCCAGCACGTCACTCGAAACAGATGGAGACCAAGCGGTGCCTTCTTCCCATCCCCAACATGGTAGGCAGGTCCGTAGAATTTCATAGCCGGCTAAGAGGACGTCTATTTGCCATTATGCTGGGAGCTGATGACCCTCCTCCCACTCGGTACCGAGTGGGAAGCCGGCCCACGCAGCATCCCACGCGCTTTCCTTCGGTCATCGTGCCCTCTGTTGCACAGGTGATGATGTATGATTTTCATGCACTCCGGTCTAAAGACATGCTTGACTGGTCCCCGAGGTGGTCCCAACATACCGGACTGCGCTATTTCTTTCTCATTTCGTAATTCTATCAAGTACGATGTACCCGTCTCGATGTCGCTGCGTCTGCCCCGGGAAAGAAAAAAAAAAGACGAATACCGCTGGGGCGGAACCGCAGGAACCTGTTAGACAGGGGAATCATTTCCCCTAGGATCCGATCGGGTTCAGCTCACGAGGTCTTCCAATGGGCGCGCGCACGGACGATATACGCGTGAGCTCCGCCTGACGATTCCATAGGAAGAATGGAAGTAGGGAGTGGTATTATTGTCTCTGTCACAACCCTTGCCCGGCCTAGTACTCTTTCGTATGTGAGTAAGCGCGTTAACTTAGTACCATTCCCATCCAGGCAAATCAAGGCTAGTAGGCACCGGTACCGTCGCAATTGAAGTG